TACATACATACATACATACATACATACATACATACATACATACATACGTACATATGCACGTACATACATACATGCATACATATATGCATGCATACATATATACATACATCCATACAGACATACATACATGCATGTCACAGAATGAACCTCGAGCCAGGTCTTCTCGGAGAGTCAGAGTGATTTATTTGTCATACACACCACATGTGGTACATAAGTTTGGATGAAACTATGTACACAGAGTCCCAGTTACATCCAACAAGAACACCAATTGTAAAGAAAAATATTTGTAAGATCCGAGTCATGAACTAAGAATATACTACATTCACTACACTAAGAATACACAAGACTAAGAATGCACTAAGCACTAATAGTACAAAAACAGTGCACCAAAACAACACCAGCACGAACATGAGCCTGTGTGAGCAGATGAGGACTAATGAACACAGCCACATGAAATAATCAGCAGCATGAGATCAGCATCTTGGATAGTCAGCTGCACATATCAACAACCAAGTGACATTACAGTGATTTTTCACAGTGATTTTTTTTCCTGGTTACAGATTCATGAGTCTAACAGCCTCAGGGTAGAAGCTGTTCCTCAGCCTGGTAGTTCTGCACTTAATGCTCCTCAGCCTTCTACCTGAGGGGAGTGCGGCAAAAAATGTGTGTGCTGGGTGAGTGGTGTCCTTCATGATGCAGGTGGCCCTCTTCCTGCATCTGGAGGTGTAAATGGTAAATGGACTGTAGTTATATAGTGCCTTTCTTTCTGATCAAGACACTCAAAGCACTTTACACTACAATCTGTGTCCTCATTTACCCATTCATACAGCACTCTACTAGATCTCTAGAAAGCTAATTGAACAAATCATTCCAAAGAAACTGTTCCGGACACGTCCCACCGGAAGGAGGCCCAGAGGAAGACCCAGGACTCGCTGGGGGGACTATATTTCTCGGCTGGCCTGGGAACGCCTCGGGATTCCCCCGGAAGAGCTGGCCCAAGTGGCTGGGGAGAGGGAAGTCTGGGCCTCCCTACTTAGGCTGCTACCCCCGGGACCCGACCCTGGATAAGCGGAAGAAAATGGATGGATGGATGGATTCTAAAGAAACTAATCAGTGCTTTAGATCACATTCATACACCGATGGGACACACATCGGAGGCAATGAGGGGGGTTCAGTGTCTTGCCCAGGGACACTTCGGCATGTGACTGCTGGTGGATTCGAACCCCCAACTCCTGCATTGGAGGGCAACTGCTCTAACCATTCAGCCACAGCTGCCCGATGTAGGTGTAGATGTCTGTGATAGTGGGGAGGCTGACTCCAACAGACTTCTGTGCAGCCTTCACCACTCTCTGCAAAGCTTTTCTTTCTGCAGCTGTGCAGCCTCCATGCCACACATTGATGCTGGAGCACATGATGCTCTCCACTGCACACCTGTAGAAGGAGGTGAGGACTGAGCTTCCCAGTCCAGCTCGCCTAGCCGTCTGAGGAAGTAGAGTCTCTGATGTGCTTTCTTGATCAGGTTGGTGGTGTTGTTGCCCCAGCTGAGGTTGTCGTTCAGGTGCACACCCATGTACTTGCAACTGGAGACCACTTCCACCACAGATCCTCCTATGTTTGGGGGGCAGGTGTGTTTATTCCTTCTAAAATCCATGAACATCTCCTTTGTCTTATTCACATTGATGTGAAGGTTGTTCTTCCTCCACCAGCTCCCTAGGTGTTCCACCTCCTGCCTGTAGCTGGACTCATAATTGTTTTTGATGCAACCAACCACCGCTGTATTGTCTACAAACTTTACAATATGACAGCCTGAATGGGTCGGTGCGCAGTCATACGTTAACAGGGTGAACAAGAAGGGGCTCAACACACAGCCCTGGGGGGGAGCCCGTGCTGAGGGTTATGGTGGAGAAGTCGTCTTGACTTTTATAACACAATTACAACACATGAACATTTCAGTGGCGTTCAGTTTGTGTTCCTTTGTCCTGAAGCCAGCTGCACAGGTTTTAACTCACAAAAACACACTTTGTCTGCACAGATGTGGTTAATGGGCATCAGGGAGACACCACGAGTAGACCTCCAGATTGAGAACTTGGATATTTTGAGAGACAGCAGACCGGCAACTTCTTATGGTTGGAGGGAAAGATGTTCTCAGACAAAATATAAAAACATTCACAACTCTTTATGGAAAATCCTCTAAAAGTTTCCCCAAGTCAGATTGGTTCTAGGTGACAGACCAGACAAAGAGCTATTCATAACACTTGTATAGACAAATAGCAAAGAGCTCAGTGTTCCTTGCTTGGACATGGGTTACCAGGCCGCAACCTAAAGCCAGGCCTAGGGGAGGGGCTCTTTGGCAAGAACCTGGACTCGAGACCCAGTCGGGTTCAGTCCAATGAAGTTACATGGGTTTACCTTCCTGTGGGCCCATGACCTGCAGGAGGGCCATACAGGTCCGTTGCATTATGCCATGAGCAGAAGCCAAAGGAAATCAGGGTTAGTGGTTCATTGTTTTTGAGACCCACTGGGGTGTTGTGTTTATTTCAAATTAGATTTTATAAATTGGTTTACAAGTTCACAAGGCAACCTAGAATATTGTCTTGTTTGTTCATATTGACAGATGTGGATTTGTGCTGCAAAATCCTTCACTGTAGTTCATGTTCTATAAAGAGTTTTATCAAATACAGAAAATAAGGTTTTATTTTGAAGTTCTGGTTACTAAATGTATGATTTAGCAACCCTTGCAATGGCCACAAGATCAAGGAACCTCAACTATACCATGGCAGGACTTGGAATTTTGTTGTCTCATCCTGGAGTCAGGCCTAGGGTACAGGTTTGTTGGGTTTCCAAGAATCCAACTTCTTGAGACCACGCTCCTGTAAATCCACCACCTGCAGCAGGACCCGTCAGGACCTGATGCGTCCTTAACTGATGCGTCCTTAACTGATGCGTCCTTAACTGATGCGTCCTTAACTGGGCAACAGTCAGGGGCAGTCCAATTTGTAATTGATGAATCTGACATGAACCAGATTTAGGGATTCAAACCAGACCACAAACAGGAAGGTTTAATAGATTTATTGATTAACAGCTTCGGGTGGAGGTCTGAGTCCTTGGGCCAGCACGATCTGAAGAGACAGGAAGGTTAGTGAATTGGAGTTAAACGGCTTTGGTTTGATTGTTCAGTTTATAACCACCAACCTTCGTAAGCAGGTGAGGGAGGATTTCCTTAGAGTTGGATTGTGTGATGTCACTGTTTGAGAAGGTGAGCTGCTTTTGAGGCAGAGCTGAGCTTGAAGCAGTGAGGACAATCCAAAAGACAGGTCTAGGGAGACAGGCGAGGGTCATGCACAGATGATCAGAAATCCGAAACCAGACTTGAATCGTGATCCGGTAGACGTGGTCGTTTTAGAGAATGCAGAGGTCGTTACCATAAGCAGAGTTGATAATCCAAAACAAGCAGGGGATGGTCAAGATGGGTAATCCGTAAAACAGGCTTGAAGTCAGAACCAGGAAGACAAACGAAACTGTGGCATGGACGCTGGACATTTACTTACTGTGAGGCTTTCAATAATCTGGCACTGAGTAGAGTGACTGTGGGGTTTAAGTAAAGGGAAAAACAGGTGAGCTGCATGAGGGCTGATTGCAGTGACTCAGCAGAGTGGGTGTGGTTAAGTGAGGTGCAGGTTGACAGGAGATGAGATGAAACATGAACTATGGCAGGCAAAGCAAAAAACATGACAGAATCAGACTTTATAAATGCAATATGCCACACCACTGATGAGGAAAGAGCCTGAGCTTGTGCAGGAGACTAGATGAGCCCAACTACTTTGTATGTCTAGTTGGCTTCATCTCCTGTAGAGGGGCTGCTCTGTCTGGAGTCACTCTGGGTGAGAGGCTGCATGCAGGGTTGGACTTACTTACTGTTTATCCCCTCATCTCTTCGACCAAACACAGGTCTTCTTTTGCCTTCAGGTTGGGGACATGGTCATGCACAGATGTGGTTAGCAGCAGTTCAGAGCAACCAGTCTTCTTGGAGTCCTTGAGTGAGGTGCTTGACAATGCTTGATTAAGGGACTCAGTTGTCTTACTGGAGGACTTGAACAGCCATCTTTGTGAACATAGTGTGAGCTGGAGTAGCATGATTGGGCTGGGTCAACCTGCCTGATCTAAACCAATAAAGGGGTTTGTTTTTACAAACATATAAACATTAAATTATAGATTTCTGAAGTTAAACTTAAAGCAAAACAGATTAAAAGCTGAAAATGTCTTGTTTGATTTAAAATGCTCAACAATCTCTGGTGTTCTCTTTTTGCAAAAGAGGTTAAATAAGTTTTAATTTGATCATTTTTAAGAACATTACATTTTCTGTAAAATACAGTTCCTTCAAAGTAATATTTGCTAGTTTTATTCAGTCTGTGTTTATCCGCTTGTTTGGTATTAAACCAGCTCATTTCATATTTTCTCTCATGACAGACTTGGGGATTGTGATCTTTCAGAGAATCACTGGGAAGTTTTATCCTCAGCTATGAAGTCCAAGTCCTCTCTTCTAACAGTCTTGGATCTGAGTAACAACATCAACCTTGAAAACTCTGGAGTGAATCATCTGTGTTCAGGACTAGAGAGCTCAAACTGCAGACTGGAGGTTCTGAGGTCAGTTTTCTGAAGCTGATGGTGGTTCTGTGTTCATCTGAACAAAAATCATTTATTACTCCTCAATCTCTGCTGAACCAGTGGGCAGATTTTACTGAATCTTTGAAAGTAATGGTTGGATGTCCATCTTCAGCTGGTTATCTATAGAAAGAGACATTCCTTCAAGAAATGCTGAGCCTTTAGTTTAAAATGTGTACTCATAAAAGTTCTATTCATTCAAAACATTAAAACTGTAGAGACTGTTTGATTTAAATTTAATTAAATGTGCAAAATTTACCCTTTAAATAAACTTTTACTAGATTAATTATTAAACAAGTTTATTGTGTTTTTGTGGATCTTAAGTTTAAAATATAAATTCCTCACATTGTTTTCTTCACATTCCTTCAAAAGCGCACTTCAATACTTGCTCTTGTCAAGGACGGACATCTCCTCCTCTCCCTCTCCGCTTCACTTTGCTCTGTCCTGTCTGTGAAACTGCTTTAGAGCCTCTCTTCTACAAATCTTCCGAATCATAATTTATGGATTTGGATTTGGTCAGTTGGTCCCTCAACACAATTGATAACATTTCTTCGAACAGAAGACAGGCTTTAGGCGAGCCGATTTGCCCTGTTGGCACGCACGCAGCTGGATATCTCATCGACTTGGAAGACTTGATGATGTGTCTATCTCTGCTGTCATTGATGGATTTTAAGGACACATATATAATTGGATTTATGATAACTGATTCCTGCTTTTTGGATTCGGCTGGTTCCTGGTTTATCTACAATCAAGGAAGTCGTCAGCAACAAATTTGGACCCAATCATGCTGCTTGCCTTATGATGGCTTGGTTCGTGCCTCAAGCACCCAGACTCAATTGCTTTTGGCAGAATGGATCAGATCTCGGGGATCATTCTCAGGCACCGTCCATTGGTGTGGCCATTTAATTTGGATGTTTCGGAACCAAGTGGACTGACACAGACTCAAGGTAGATGTCATTAAAGTTCTGCCTGTCCCCAAAACATTTGTGTTTATCTGAATTTGGCTCCCTGAATGACATTGACAGGCCATCTTATCTAATTCGCCTGGAAGTTTTGTAAACCTGAAGCTCTGCCCCGTCCCTCCCCTCCTACTGAGGAATTCAATGAACTTTTCAGAGGGGCCCAGCTGAATAAGCATTCTGTCATCATTTCAGGATTCTCTGGATTCATCCTTGGTCGTCCTCGACACCCCCTCATTGTGTACGGTTCTCTCCAGAGGGAACTTTTTAAACTGAGCAATCTTATCTGAACTCTGCTGTGCCTCTGTGGGTTGTCTCTGGACATGGTCTTTGCTTCCCATCCACCCCCCCACCCCCAACCCCATTGCAGACTGTTGGCGTCATTATGTGCTTGGTGTGTGAGATATATTTTTTCATTATCATGCTGATGATCTTCAACCAAAGATTAAAAGCGTGTTAGGAATTTTTGTTGTCTCCAAACCCTATGTGTCATTTTTCACCACTTTTTATTGTCTGTCCAAACAGGTATCACTTGTAAACGAATCTTGGAGGTTCAATGTGACTTATCTGTTTAAATTAAGGTTGAATTGAATTGAATTTATTTTATGTTTTAGGTTGGAAAACTGCGATTTGACAGAAATCAGCTGTGTTTCTCTGGTCTCAGCCCTGAAGTCCAATCCTTCCCATCTGACAGAATTGGACCTGAGTAACAACGAGGATCTGGACAATTCTGGAGTGAAGGAACTCTGTGATTTTCTGGAGAGTCCACATTGTGCACTGAAAACTCTGAGGTCAGTTGCACAAACATCATGTAAAAACCTGATTTGAATGCGAGTCATGGAGTCAGGGGTATTTCATCACCAAACTAAAAACGACTTAGAACTCGGTGCAACTTTGTTGTTGAGATATTTCTTGTAGTTAGTCACGAGGTTTACACATATCTCAGGATGTCTTTTGACCCATTCCTCTTTGTAAAACTGATATAAATCCTTTAGGTGGGTCAGCTGCTGCATCACAACTCAAAGCTTCAGCTTCAGCTAGGCCAGTCTTTGACCTTCATGCACTTCCTGATGATTACTAGCATGTTGTAAGATCCATCGTCAAGTCACCATCAGTGTTCTGGCTGAAGGAAGAAGGTTGGGTCCAAGAATTAAACGTTCCTGTCCATTGGTCCCTCAGTGCAGTGAAATCATCCTATACCCTCAGCAGCTCCAAAATCAGCTCAGACCATGCTATTTCCACCTTTGTGCTTGTCTGTGGCGAGGGAGTCCTTTGGGTCATATTTACCATTTCTCTTCCTCCAAACACAGTGGGTTGAGTTGATGCCAAAGAGCTCAGTTTTAGTCTTTTAGGTGTTCACATTCGTGAGCAGGGAGAACTTTCAGGTACCGTAAGCAAGTCATGTTAGCAATGTTTTCCAACCAGTGCTTAGTTTGTAAACCAAACAATTCTGGAACACAACTGGGGGAGGGGGGGCTCCCCCCAGCCTCCCCTCCCTGGGCTGCCACCTTACCGTGGTGGAGGGGTTTGAGTGTCCCAATGATCCTAGGAGCTATGCTGTCAGGGGCTTTATGCCCCTAGTAGGGTCACCCATGGCAGACAGGTCCTAGGTGAGGGACCAGACAAAGTGCAGCCCAAAGACCCCGATGATGAGACAAATAAATGGACCTAGTGTTCCCTTGTCCGGACGTGGGTCACCGGGGCCCCACTCTGGAGTCAGGCCTGGAGGTGGGGCATGCGGGCGAGCGCCTGGTGGCCGGGCTTTTACACATGGAGCTCGGCCGGGCACAGCCCGAAGAGGAGACGTGGGTCCCCCTTCCCATGGGCTCACCACCTGTGGGAGGGGCCAAAGGGGTCGGGTGCAATGTGGGATGGGTGGTGGCCGAGGGCGGGGACCCTGGCGGTCTGATCCTCGGCTACAGAAGCTGGCTATTGGGACGTAGAATGTCACCTCACTGGTGGGGAAGGAGCCTGAGCTGGTGTGTGAGGCTGAGAGGTTCCGGCTAGAAATAGTCGGACTCACCTCTACGCATGGCTCGGGCTCTGGAACCAGCTTCCTTGAGAGGGGCTGGACACTCTTCCACTCTGGAGTTGCCCCGGGTGAGAGGCGCCGAGCAGGAGTGGGCGTACTTATTGCCCCCCAATTTGGTGCCTGTGTGTTGGGGTTCACCCCGGTGAATGAGAGGGTGGCCTCCCTCTGCCTACGTTTGGGGGGACGGGTTCTGACTGTCGTTTGTGCTTATGCACCAAACGGCATTTCAGATTATCCACCCTTTCTGGAGTCCTTGGAGGGGGTACTGGAAAGTGCACCTCCTGGGGACTCCCTTGTTCTGCTGGGGGACTTCAATGCTCATGTGGGCAATGACAGTGAAACCTGGAGGGGTGTGGTTGGGAGGAACGGCCCCCCTGATCTGAACCAGAGTGGTGTTCTGTTGTTGGACTTCTGTGCTTGTCATGGATTGTCAATAACAAACACCTTGTTCAAGCATTAGGGTGTCCATATGTGCTCTTGGCACCAGGACACCCTAGGCTGCAGTTCGATGATCGACTTTGTCATCGTCTCATCTGATCTGCGGCCACATGTCTTGGACACTCGTGTGAAGAGAGGGGCGGGGCTGTCAACTGATCACTACCTGGTGGTGAGTTGGCTCCGATGGTGGGGGAGGATGCCGGTCAGACCTGGCAGACCCAAACGTATTGTGAGGGTTTGCTGGGGACGCCTGGCAGAGTCTCCTGTGAGACGGAGTTTCAACTCCCACCTCCGGGAGAACTTTGAACATGTTCCGAGGGAGGTGGGGGACATTGAGTCTGAGTGGACCATGTTTCGTGCCTCTATTGTAGAGGCGGCTTACCGGAGCTGCGGCCGCAAGGTTGTCAGTGCCTGTCGCGGCGGCAACCCTCGAACCCGATGGTGGACAACGTCGGTGAGGGATGCTGTCAGGCTGAAGAAGGTCCTATTGGGCCTTTTTGGCCTGTGGGACCCCGGAAGCAGCTGATGGGTACCGGCAGTTCAAGCGACATGCGGCTCGGGTGGTTGCTGAGGCAAAAACTCGGGCATGGGAGGAGTTTGGAGAGGCCATGGAGAATGACTTCCACATGGCTTCGAGGCAATTCTGGTCCGCCATCCGGCGTCTCAGGGGGGGAAAGTGGTACACCACCAACACTGTTTATACTGTAGTGGGTGTGGTGTGCTGCTGACCTCCACTCAGGATGTCGTGGGTCGGTGGGTAGAATACTTTGAAGACCTCCTCAATCCCACCGGCACGTCTTCCACTGAGGAAGCGGAGCCTGGGGACTCTGGGTCGGGCTCTGGTGCTGAGGTCACCGAGGTGGTTAAAAAGCTCCTCGGTGGCAGGGCCACAGGGGTGGATGAGATTCGCCCGGAGTTCTTTAAGGCTCTGGATGTTGTAGGGTTGTGTTGGCTTACGCGACTCTGCAATATTGCGTGGACATCGGGGGAAGTTCCCCTGGATTGGCAGACCGGGGTGGTGGTCCCTCTATTCAAAAAGGGGGACCGTAGAGTGTATTCCAACTACAGGGGAATCACGCTCTTAAGCCTCCCTGGTAAGGTATATTTGGGGGTTCTAGAGAGGAGGGTCCGTCGGATAGTCGAACCTCGGATTCAGGAGGAGCAGTTTGCAGAGAATGCAATTTCCTTCATTCTGGTGTATTTTGGCAGGTTGTTAAGCATCTACATTTACCTAAACTCCCAGACTCCACCACAGGCTGTTCATGGCTTCTGCCTGTGGGCTCCTGCCCAGGTACAAGAGCCTGATTAGCTCACCACTCACCCACACTACTCCACCTGCTCCAGTACTATCTCCATTGCCACTGTCTTCATGTGCTTCAGTTCTTGGGTGTTTAGTTGTACAGTGAGAAGCCTTTTTTTAATTAAAGTAAATTGGACTGTCTTTTCAACATTTTGATTGCTTTTATTTTGACAAATTGGTGTAGTTGTTTTGATACCTGACATACGTAACTTGATTACCCATCAAACATTTCTCACATATTTTTAATTAATTATCTAAATTTTATTAATGACCCACTTAAACTGTAAAACGAATTTGCAACTTAGTTGTGCTATTTAAACATATGTTTTTTTTTTAATTAAATTACCCGTAACTGTACTTTTAGAGGCGGAGATTTGTTTAAGGGTAGAAGCAGAAATGCTTACTTGAAGGAAGAAAGAGTTTAGCCAAGAAGAAATATGACAGTGAAAGGACTTAAGAGAGGGGACAGGAATATAAGGAGATGGGACATAGAGCTAAGAAGAAAGTAGCTAAGGCAAAGCAGAAAGTGTGATGAGTTGTTTGGGAGGCTGGACACTAAAGAGGGTGAGAAGGACTTGTGTATCAATTGGCAAGACAGAGGGATCAAGCTGGAAAGGATGTGCAACAGGTTAGGCTTGTTAAAGATAGGAATGGTAATGTTCTAACAAGTGAGGAGAGTGTGATGGGAGGATGGAAGGAGTACTTTGAGGAGCTAATGAATGAAGAGAATGAAAGAGAAAGAAGAGTAGAGGTCATAGAAACTGTGGACCAGGAAGTGGGAAAGATTAGTGAGGATGAAGTCCGGAAAGCTCTGAAAAGAATGAAGAATGAAGGCAGTAGGACCTGATGACATACCAGTGGAGGTATGGAAATGTCTTGGAGAGATGGCAGTGAGGTTTTTGACTCAAATATTCAGTTCTATATTTGAGGGTGAGAAAATGCCTGAGGAATGGATAAGAAGTGTGCTGGTGCCCATTTTTAAGAACAAGGGTGATGTATAGAGTTGTAGCAACTACAGGGGAATTAAGATGATGAGCCACACAATGAAGATCTGGGAGAGAGTTGTGGAAGCAAGACTTAGATGAGAGGTGACTATCTGTGAGCAGCAGTATGGTTTCATGCCAAGAAAGAGCACCACAGATGCCATCTTTGCTTTGAGAATGCTGATGGAGAAATACAGAGAGGGTCGAAAAGATCTCCATTGTGTATTTGTGAATTTAGAAAAAGCATATGACAGAGTGCCAAGGGAAGAGGTGTGGTATTGCATGAGGAAATCTGGAGTGGTAGAGAAGTATGTTAGACTGGTACAGGACATGTATGAGGACAGCAGGACAGTGGTGAGATGTGCTGTAGGAGTGACAGATAGCTTCAAGGTGGAGGTGGGATTGCATCAAGGATCGGCTCTGAGCCCCTTCTTGTTTGCTCTGGTGATGGACCGACTAACAGATGAAGTCAGGTAAGAATCCCCATGGACTATGATGTTTGCAGATGACATGATCTGTGGTGAGAAACAGATGGAACTTAGAGACATGGAGGTATGCACTTGAAAGAAGAGGAATGAAAGTCAGTCAGTAAGACAGAGTCCATGTGTGTGAATGAGAGGGAGGCCGGTGGAAAAGTGAGGCTACAAGGAGCAGAAGTCACAAAGATGCAGGCCTTCAAGTACTTGTGGTCCACTGTCCAAGAAAATGGGGAGTGTGGTAAAGAGGTGAAAAGGAGAGTCCAGGCAGGATGGAGTGGAGTGATTTGTGACAAAAGGGTGTCAGCAAAGGTCAAAAGAAAAGTTTACAAGACAGTGGTGAGACCAGCTATGTTGTATGGTCTGGAGACAGAGATATGGCCAAAAAGACAAGAGAAAGAACTGGAAGTGGCAGAAATGAAGATGTTGAGGTTCTCCTTAGGAGTGACAAGGATGGATAAGTTTAGGAATGAGGTCATCAGAGGTATACAGCACAGGTTGAACAACTGGGAGATCAAGTTAGAGAGGCCAGACTGAAATGGTTTGGACATGTCCAGAGGAGGGACAGTGGTTTGGACATGTCCAGAGGAGGGACAGTGGGTATGTTGGTAGAAGGATGTTAGAAATGCAGCTGCATCCTACAAGAAAATAATATGTTAAATTTCCCAGGTTGGAGAGTCAAGGGAATTGAACGTCTGGAACACATATATGAAGGTGTAGACTTTATTTCATTTAATAATTTAATAATACAATTTGGCATTGAAAATAAATACTTCTTAGAATATCAACAAATTAAGTCTATCATAAAAAAGAAATTTAAGCTTAATAAAACTTTGTTAGAAACACCAATATGTGTGTTAGAGTTCCTTAATCTTAAATCCCCCAAATTATTATCTAAAATATACAAAAAAATGTCTAGAATCAATGACTCCATAATGCTACCAGTTGCAAAATGGGAGTCAGATTTATCAATCAATTTTGACCAAAACACCTGGTCTCAAATATGTTTAAAAACATTTAAAATGACTAGAATCTCCAACTTACAATTAATACAGTATAAAGTTCTTTATAGAGTACATTATACAGGTCAGCGAATGTTTCGGATGGGATTTACATCATCTAACAACTGTTCACAGTGCACAGGCAATATTCCTGATGATTATATCCATGCACTCTGGTTCTGCCCACCCGTTCAGAGGTTTTTGGTCCAGGTTTGTGAAGACTTGTCTAAATGTCTGAAATGTAATATTCCACTCTCTCCATCTGTTTGCTTATTGGCTATCTTGGAAGATGTTACCCTGGAAAAAAATACGTCGCATGATTTTCACTGCCTTATGCATCACAAAGAAAACCATACTCCTGAATTGGAAAAATAAAAATAATCTTAGCATTAATCAGTATAAAAATCTTCTGTTAGATCATATTAGTCTTGAAACAGCATCTGCCGACACATTGGATCAATCTCTGTGGGCTCCTTTGATCGGCTCCGTTACATAGTGAGGGTGGGTAGTCTGGGATCTGACCTTGTGGGGCCTTGGGGTTGATGTGGAGGTGGGTGTATGGGTTTGGGGCCCCGGGGGGTTGCCGGGGGCTGGGCTCTTGGGGGTACCTGGGCAGGGGGGCACTGCTTTCCCTCTGGGGAGGGCCTGGGTGGTCTGGGGGATGTCTGCTGGTGGCTGCATGCAGGCCCTCAGGTGGTCTGTGGCGGCGGTCGTGGGTCAACGATCTGGTAGCCTGGCTGTGCTGGTGTGGGTTCGGGGTGGGCACGGGGGCTTGGGGTTCTGGGGGCTTGTCGCCCCCGGGCTTGGGCCTGTGGGGATCGGGGATCTTGGGCTCTGGCGGGCGGGTTGCCGGGCTCTGGGCTGGCTTGCGCTCTGGTGCCCGGTTCTGGGCGGGGGCCTTCGGCTCGCTGGTGGGTTGTGGGTTCAT